CTTACCTAATAGGTACATCGTATAATCTATCAACGAGCCTATTTAGTTATATATTATTTAACACAAGTTATTTTATTGAGTAACGTGTTATATAAACACATGTTTTTAATTAAAAATTTATTTAGTTATTATATGATTTAAATAATCACGTACTATCAATTATAAATTTAAACCGTAAATAAAAATTCTAAAAAAAGATAAACAGTTTTAAATAATGCATATACACGAAAAAAGGTTCATCTTTGTATAACTAAAACTCGCATTTATTTTCAATTTATAATACTAGGTATATTAAAACATATTTCTCATAGAAATTAATAATATTATTAATATAATTTCTAATTGTGACATTAAATTCTAATTCTAATGTTAAATGGAATAGGCCTATAGATAATCTACGCGATACATAATACATGTCCCCATATAAAATGAAGTTCCAGTAGTTGAAGCCTTTATTCCTGAATAAAAAAATGAAAAAATGAAAAAAAATAAAAATAATAGTTATTTTGATTATTTATTTATTTCTTAATGATACATATTGATGTAGTAGTATGATGAAATTTAAAATTATGTTTTCCGTATATTATTTTCTTACCTAACGTATTTTTATAAAACCTCTTTTACCAAGTACTTTGAAAATCCTTGACCAATTAAAGTTGCTTCTATTGGTAAATATATCCAGTTATTAAAAACATATTTAAGTTTCTTTAAATAATTAAAAATATAGTATATATATATATATATTGAATTACTAGTATTATAACCCCGTTTACTAATTTTAATTTTAATTTAATTTTTCATTTTGTTAAGCAAGTATTTTTTTTCATCGGTTTCCTATTTTCCATGAAACTATTTAAAATGTTGTTCTTTTAAAGAGCATTTGTAATATTTAAACTTTGCATTGAGAACTATTGATAGCATAAAAATTAATAAACTTAATATTTATTAATCGTATGAAAATGATGGAGCACTGTGTGGAAGGAATTATTTATGTGCAGTTGTGCTTGGATAAAAAAAAATTATCTAGATATAGATAAGATATCTGGATTTAAAATTATCTAGATATAGATAGATAAAATCACTTTTATCTAGATATAGATAAATAAAATAATTTTTATCTAGATATTAATAAGGTATCAACGTCTTCATCCGTTTGTAGGCGAACTCTTTTGGTCTTGGGTAATAATTGTATTATGTAACGATCCATTTAAAAATATAAAATATTTCACCAATAAAATAAAATTGAAAATCATAGACAAAATTATGAAAAATATGAAGACTGTCTGACGATAAATACTGAACACGTTGTGGATGAGAGTGCGCTGCGTACAGTACAAGTTTTTAATAAATAGCGGAAGTTACACGCTTAATATTTATTTTGTTGTACAATAATATTATGTAGACACATCAAAGTACGAATTCATAGAATTGGGGTCCGTTAATGACAATTATTTAGAGCACATGATTATATGAACGATGAACATAATTTATATATAAATATTGAATTTAGGGCGATCGAATGATGATGGAGAACGATTAATTTCTGTGTAGGTACAGCGTAATCAAGGACGGCGCGAGGGGGTGGGAAATAGGGGTAGTGGCCTAGGGCCCCGCGCCTTAAATTATAATTAAGGCCTCACGGTTCTGATTTAACTGAACTTAAAATACTTTATTAATATAAATTATAAGACCCAATATTTATTTTGTCCAGGGTCTTGCAAAATCTAACACCGTCACTGAGCGTAATGTATATTGTAATATTGCTATTTTCTTATCGAAAATTATTTCTGTATTTTAGTATTTATAAACCATTTACCGCGCAGCTGCAATGATAACCAGTTTAGACTTATGGTGCGTTATCTCTGGTTCTTGTAAATGCTTTTTCGGCGTTCGTAATACCACAGAACAATAGTAATACGGGCATGAGACTTTCCAGTATGGGCCATACTATGAAATTATAAATAATTCTCACCTCCCATGCATATTATGTAGGTAATATATGTCTATACACATAATAAATTGTCATTGTTCGTAATTAATAATAAATGCTATGTAAAACTATTTTAGAACCAATTTTTGCAAGTAAATATACAAATGAAATTTCTTATTTAGTTATTTATTTTACATTGAATGATAAAATTGTAGATTAGTTATTACTAATGATTAGCTAAAGATTTTGTGAATTATCTAGATGGCCATGATTTTTATCTGGATGAAAATTAGATGTCAATTTTATTTTTTATCTAGATATGATAACGATATGAGGTTTTTATCTAGATAACATATCTAGATAAATTTATCTATAGCACAACACTGGTTGAGATAAGAAGGATTTTAGCGTGAGAAATAAAGGAGTTGGAAGAAAGTGTAATTTATAGAGGAGTCCCTCAGTCCACACACGATCAAACGCCTATGCGACATAAAAAAAAATGCCTCCACAATGGCTTTTAGTTTTTAAAGATAATGAAATGATATCTGCTAATCTTTAAATTTGATGTAGTGTAGAGTGTATTATTTTGGAATCCAAACTGAATATTGGGAATAATTTTATTTACGTTTATTATAGGATAGTTTGTCTTAAGTATGATTTTTTCCAGAATTTTTGAAAAATAAGGTTGAAGACTAATTAGTCTATATGAAGGGGGAGAATCAGTTGGTTTTCCAGGCTTTTGAATTAATATTATAATGGAGTATTTCAAAGTGTGTGGTATATATGATAAGCTTAGTATAGAATTAAAAATATGAGCGAGAAAGATAATAGCTTTTTTTGGAAGATATTTGAAAATTTTGTTAGTAACTAAATCGTGACCGGGAGATTTATTATTATGTAGTTTTTTTATTATAAAAATAATTTTTGATGGAGACTTGTGTTTAGTGGGAAAGGCCATAGGACAAATAATGTCTAATGAGTGAGTTATATGATTATTAGGGTCTGTATTATTTATGCCTGAATGGGGACAGAAGTTATTGACAAGGTGAGTAGCAAGTATATTGTCTTTTTCGGCATTACTCGTAGATATAGCTTATAAGTTATTTCAATCATCGCAAAAGGGGTATATGCTTTTTTTTAAGTAGGTTTTTAGTTGCTTTCCATAAAGACTTATTATTATTTGTGAGTGATTTTATATAATGTTAATATGACTCTGAGTTATTTTTGTCCAAGAGTTTTTTTAAATTACAGGAGAGACGGTTGTAGGTGGATTTATCGCTTGGGAGGTAAGTGCGTTGCCATCTAGCTCGATCATGGCGCTTTTCTATTATTAATTGACGTACATGTTGAGGAAGATTACCTTGCTTGGTATGAATAGTATGAGTATTAGAGGCACTTAATGTAGAGTTTTTAATAATATTAAATTTAAAAGAGCTCCCAATTTGTTTTTCCAGAGGTGAGGGTTGGATAAGCTGTTTTAATTATGCTGTGAACATTTAAAGAAAGTAAAACTGGAGTGCGGAGAGATATTTTGATTGATGTGATTGGGTAGGTTAGTTATGAAGAAGTCTAAGATGTCGGGTTGTCTATCTTGATGAGTTGGCCAATAAGTAGGATTGGGAAGTGAGAGAAATTTAAGGTTTTTGTTTAGTATAAGATTATGTAGAGTTCGACCTCGGGTGTTGGTGATTCTGGAGCTCTATGAGATGTGCTCACAGTTAAAGTCAGTTAAAGCCTGCATGAGCGGTTCCGCTGGGATGATCACAGTTGTATGTTAGGTATTCAGGAAGTTTAAACGAGGATTTTAGTGTTAAATGAGCTTCACTGATAAGGATAATATCAATATGGGTGATTTGTAGGAATGCTTTAAATTCATTTTTTTGTTGATAAAGTCCATTGGCGTTCCATAAAAGGATGGATAATGAATGTTGTACATTTGAGTTAGTTGACATTTGATTGGGATTGGAGTTTAGTGATGACAGTGGTTAGTAAGGAGATTAAAGGATTAATTAAAGATTTAAAATCGTGTAGGAAAGAAAGTAATTTAAAAGATAATTGATCAGAGTTATCATTGCTAGAAGTATGTGAAGGTATAAAGAATCTTTAGTTGCTTGAGCGGATGATTTGGGCTGAGAAAACGAATTTGAAGTGGTGTTTACATTAATAAACTCTACATTATTTATAGTGTTTTGATGAGAATGTGAAGTAATTTGAGTTTTCTTGAGATTGCGAGAAGATTGAATTTCTTTATGTTTGTGACATCCTCGATAGTTTGCAGGGTGATTGTCCTGTCAAAGAGAATATTTGGCTGGTCAGTGAGTTTTTGACATAAGTTTGATTGATGATGATCGCCGCACCGTACACATTTTGGTATATGATTGCAATAGGCTTTTGTATGTCCAATTCTTTAGATTATATTACAATTGTATGATGTAAATTTTTGATCATGACTCTATATGCTCTATCTTGTTTTAACTGATATGTATGATAGTCAGCTTTGGTGGATTTTAAAAATTATATTATTTTTCTGAATTCACAAAAATTACATAATATATTTAAATTTGAGGCCCTTCAAATCTCGGAGTTCCCAGCCTGGAGTATATGCCTTGATACAGCACTACTCTCAGGAAGAAAAATGTATTAATCCTTCTCATCGATATCATGTCAGAATATTAAAACATAAACATTATATTTATATTTTTATTTTTTTTAATTATTAATTTCATATAATTAAATATTGGGCCTCGCTGAGAAACTTGTGTTTTAACCTTAATTTGCATTAAGTTAAGACCTTGTTTTTACATTAATTTATTTCACTTTTTAATATTTTAAGGTAGGTATTTCCGAATGATAGGTACAAAAATAATAAATAAAATACCTTCTGTTATTAGATTATTTAAAAAATATACATATTAATATAATAAGAAATGTCTTTATGGTTATTAAACTTTAATTAATAATATTTTAAAATTTAAGTATTATGGTTATGGTAAATTGTAGCATTTATATAATATACATATTAAGCGTCGTATGACAATTTCTAAAAAATTTCCTCTTTATAATGAAATATCTATTTATTATAATAATCACGTAATTCCCATTTACACTTACAATCTACTGCTTTTTCGTTTAAGCCTTTGAAATAATTTCTAGCAGCCATGTGTTTTAGATGTACGTTATCGATGAATGTTTTTGTGTACACTTTATTTATGTTACTGATATTAGAATGAACAACGGCCTCATCGGTCGTCAATAGAATCGTGTTCGATGGGGACCAGTTTAGTTTGTGGTCCCATCTTACCAATTGTAATTGTGTTACGTCTTTGAATTCGCTTAATGCCGATTTTCCCTTCCATATGATTTCTACTAGATAATATATATCTTCGATGTTTAAGAAAAATGTTATATTAGATTTTGTTTTCAATTTTGCCTCAGTAGCTCTGATCGATCTGAATATGTCTTCGTAAGGCATTAAATTTATTTGTTTTACTGTAATGCAATACAAATGTCTACAATCTTTACATATCGTGGTATCTGTTAAATCTAATTTCATCTTAAATCTGTTAAGTGATTTTAATTTCCTGCAACTATAGCATTTAATAAGATTTGCGGGCGTGGTGATTCTTGCTATCGCTGGGTTTATTTCCGGTTGTCTTATGATAAATTGGAAAGTTATTTCAATACGTTTTCTTAACATTTCCAGTTGGCTATCATTTAGTTTAACGATATTTAATAACGTCAGCTCTCTATTTAATAAATTTATAATAGATTGTGTCAAATGAATTTCTTTGGAGGATTCTAATGTTTTTCTTAACTTAAGTAAAAATTCACTTCTTTCCATTTTATTTAGGTCTCTTCTTTTAAGTGAAATGTAAAATTCTAATAACTGTTTTGCTTTATAAGTTTCTTGAGTTTCGACAAGAATGGATTCTTTACTTCCTTTTATCATATAAATAATGGGTTTCGAAATGTAATTTAGTTGTGTTAAGATTTTTTTTTCTTTTGCTGTTTCCTTGGCTAGATTTCTGTGCTTGGCGATTTCCTTATGGCATTTCAATTTTTCTTTGAGCTGTGCTTTTCTTTCAGTTTTATTTTTTATATTGATTTTTTTGTTTTCGTGGTACTTTTTAACCACAGCATAAAGAGCTTCAAAATCTTTAGTCCGTGTAGGATATTGTAGGTTTATTAAATTTCGTTGTTGATTGTTATAAACATTTTTTTTTAACTCCTCCATTTCGATGCATACCAACTGAATTAGATAATAATAGTATTTCAACATATTTTCAAACTTTTTTCTAGCACTCCACATTCGCATACACTTTTGTATCGTGCGAGCACATTTATCTCGATATTTTTCGGTCATTGCAGGAGGAGAATTCTGGCTAGCACCTGTTGGAAAATAAAATTATAAATATCTAAATATAATTGTTTCGTTTCATGACAATTACTTATTTCTCTTATACAGTTCATAGATCGAAGAACGTTCAATGTTTCAGTCTGAGTACCAAAATCATTACCAACTAAACTGGTAGAGGCTTCTCGAGTTTGAAGTGTTTGTACGGCCGATGAGATTTTTTTTTTTTTATCACTTAAATCAGCAGATGTTTCGGATGTCGCAGTTTGTACCATTGTATTCCAATAAATTTTATCAGTTCTATCGTTTTTATATCCTATTATATCATTCGGCATTGAGGCATTGGTGTCATATATATTTCGGTCATCTCGACGAATCAAGTATTGTGTTGAAGTATTATTTAGCACGTGAGGTACATTATTTTCGCTATCCCAATGATATTTAATGTTTACTAACATTTTAATAGGATATTTTTTCCAGTAATATTTTAGCACTGCGTGGTCGTTCACTTCAAATTGTTGATGTTCATCATCGAACGCGAAACATCTTATTTGTTGTGTATTATCGATTTTTGGTTGTAAGGCGGATAAAATATAATGTTTTACTTCCAAAATAGTATCCCATAATGCGAAATTCGCTGACAAAATATTGTTGTTCGGTAGCGTTAGATGAACCTGGATAAAGTCTGGCTGGTTGGGAGAAATACACAGACCCAAATACATTTTAATGTTGTCTTTATCAGTTTGGTCACATTTTACCACAGAATATTCTATCACCATCTTTCGACCAACTGTCGTCTTCAACTAATATATTTGCTGTAATGATTTTAACGAAGACATAAAAATAAAAATAAAATAATTGATTTATATATATATATATAAATTATATATGGGTATATACTGATTAATAGTATTTTTATTGTCGGAGAAACATAACTAAATAGTTTTTTACCGGTACGTTTGTTTATATAACTAGCCAATACATATATTAACTGTTTAATCTCCTATTTTTGTAAACGTAATTTATAATATAGTGTCAAGATTCTTTCACTTATAAATGTCTTAATAAATTTAAGTTACAAGATTTTTTTATAAGGAAGAATGCAAGAAATTAGTGACCATATAAATGCCATTGGCTACTGCAGAAGAAGGGCTTCTTCAAAAATGTTTAGATGATTATTGAGGAAGATTTCATTATTAATTATAACCTACATGAATCATAAAAATAAATTGTTTAAAACTTTAAAATGTATCTATAAATAGTATAAAACAAAATCGCTTCTCAAGTCTGTCCCTATGTATGCTTACATCTTTGTAACTACGCAACGGATTTTGATACAGATTTTTTTTAATTGATAGAATGATTCAAGAGGAAGTTTTATGTATTATTTTTTATTTTATTACAATCTATAATCTTAAATAATAAAAGTAAAAGCGTTATTCAATTATATCAAAATAAAATATTTAAGCAAAAACCTAATTTTTACAGACATTTGGTACTTTTGAAGTGATAATAATTTGTGTAGGTTATTGTCATAGAGTAAGATAGAGGTGGCGTTAGCTATCAAAATCATGTATCACAATTGAATCTAATCCGTCGGTCATTGACCCCAATTGAAGTGTCCAAGTAAAATAATTTTCTCCGTTAGTCATGCTGTTTTCAACGAAAAGTATATATATACATATCACTTTTCATTCATTGAAGACAGCGAAACTAGCGGAGAAAACTATCATACTTGGAATCTTCATGGGAGCAATGACCGACAAATTGGCTTCAGTTTTGATAGCTAACGCAGCCTCTATCTTACTCTATGGTTATTGCCAGTGTTGGGATTATCTAGATAAAAATGTTTATTATCTTTATCTTATCTAGATAATAAAAAATGAACCGTTGAAAATTATTGAAAAAATTATTCAAGATAAAAAAATCACTCATCTAGATGATTAGATAAATTATTTGTGAACGTAAAGATATTTTTCAGTTTTCCAAAAATTTTCCATACTATTACATTTGTTTTATACAGTAATCATTATTCATTAATCGGTATAATTCGTGATATATAATATAATATTATCAAAAAAAGTGTTTATTTCAGTACCTATTCTCATTTATTATGCATTATAGCTTATCGATAGTTGGCGATTGTTGTTCTAAAAATAAAATATTTGTTCCAATAAAACATGGAAATAATCAAATAACAAGATATTATGAAACATGATACTGATATAATACCCCCTGGCCACTGCACTACTAAAGTCTAAAATACTATCTGCAGTCCCATGGACATTACCACTCAATTCGATGAATTGTTCAATAAAAGACTTTTTATATTACAATATACATAGCGGAGCAATAATGAAATCGAAGAAACATAATAAATATTTTAGTCCCCAAAATTTAATAAGTATATAACAACGTATATACATCTATCGACCTATCTATGATTTGGCATTTATGTGATTTTGGCATTTTGTTAATACTAAGAACACGTCTATATAATATCACAGAATAATATTAATATAATTGATGTTCACAAATTTAATGAAGTGGTATTAATGCTTAAACATTTAAGTTGGTAGAATTAGTTTCAAAATAAAATAAATGAAATAATTGTTATTATTAAATGGCGCAATAGTGTTAACTGCTAAGTTATAGCTTTTCTGCATCGAGTACCAACATTATTTTCGAATTGCGTTGAATGTTGATAAGGACAAGTTCCTCGTAAAATATGATGCAAGTACTCGTAAACGTCATATTGTAACCAATTAGGACTAGGAATCGTGGTAGTACTCCCTTCTCATATTTTATTTCTCTTTCTACTGTATGAGTATTATTTGGAGAATGTAAAGAAGATATCATGTACACTGGTTTGTTATCCAACCATTTGAATAATTCTATGTTATTGTAACTAATATAATTATTTATTTATAATTTCAGTAAAATAATTATTAAATATAGGCAGTGTTGAGGTTAAATAAAAAAAAGTTATCTAGATATAGATAAGATATCTGGATTTAAAATTATCTAGATATAGATAGATAAAACCACTTTTATCTAGATATAAGTAGATAAAATAATTTTTATCTAGATATTAATAAGGCATCAACGTTTTCATCCGTTTTTAGGTGAACTCTTTTGGTCTTGGGTAATGATTGTATTATGTAACGATCCGTTTCAAAATATAAAATATTTCCCCAATAAAATAAAATTGAAAATCATAGACAAAATTATGAAAAATATGAAGACTGTCTGACGATCAACACTGAACATGTTGTGGATGAAAATGCGTTGCGTACAGTACAAGTTTTTAATAAATAGCGGAAGTTACACGCCTAAAGGTGCGTCCACAATATGCCGCTGAATGCCATTTTGCACGCTTGCTGGCAAAGCCAAAAATGATGTAGATGTGATCATTGGCACATACCAGCTGGCAAATTCGGCTAAGTGGCATGCCAACAGATATCGCTCGAGTGTCGGTCTACTTCAAAGAAAGCCAATCAGAACAAATAGTGTGTACGTGCCAACTGGCCTCACGTGGGTCTAATTGTGATTTGACTGTCGTTAGTGCCGTTGTGTTGTTAATTAATTTTGTTTTTTTTTTTACGTCACTCGGTTTAATGGAGTGGTCAAATGAAAAAGTTTTAAATTTAATTGAATTATACCGCGATCGTCCTGTTTTATGGGACTGTCGTTTAAAGGAATATAAAGATAGGAATAAAAAAATGGACGCGATATTGGAGATTGCAGTTAGTTTTGGAGTAGAAAAAGAGGAAATAGAAAGAAAAATAAAAATAAAAATTAACAGCATATGCAGTGATTATTAAATCGTCCTCGGAAAACATATTAAAAAGACTTAAAAGACGGAAAACTTAAAAAACTTGGAAAAAAACAAACATAGGTACCACATAAACGATATTAAATGACTAAATGCCAACACCTATGTGGACAATCGTATTGTTATTGGCTTTGCCAGTTTGGCGTTGCCAGCAAGCCGTGCCAAATGGCATTCAGCGGCATAGTGAACGCAACTTAATAATTATTTTGTTGTACAATAATATTATGTAGACACATCAAAGTACAAATTCATAGAATTGAGATCAGGTATTGACAATTATTTAGAGCACATAATTACAAGAACATTGGACATAATTTATATACAAATATTGAATTTAAGGCGGTCGAATGATGATGGAGAACGATCAATTTCTGTGTAGGTACAGCGTAATGCATATGATAATATTGCTATTATCTTATCAAAAATTATTTCTGTTTTTTAGTATTTATGAACCATCTATCGCGCAGCTACAATGATAACCAGTTTAGAACTATAGTGCGTTATCTCTGGTTCTTGTAAATGCTCTTTCGGCGTTCGTAATACCACAGAACAATAGTAATACGGGCATGAAACTTCCCCGTATGAGCCATACTATGAAATTATAAATAATTCTCACTTCCCATGCATATTATGTAGGTAATATATGTCTATACACATAATAAATTGTCATTGTTCATAAATGTATTAAATAAATACATATAAATGTCATTGTAATGAATGCTATGTAAGACTATTTTAGAACCAATTTTTGCAAGTAAATATACAAATGAAATTTCTTATTTAGTTATTTATTTTATATTGAATGATAAAATTGTAGATTAATTATTACTAATGATTAGCTACAGATATTGTGAATTATCTAGATAAATTTACCTAGATGGCTATGATTTTTATTTAGATAAGATATCTAGATAAATTTATCTAAAGCATAACACTGCTTAAGTGTTAGATTTGTATATGTTGTTATAGGAAATGTATGTAATTCTTTTGCATACAATTTATAAATTTCAATCTAATGGTTTTCAGTATTTAATTGACTAACTACAAATAAGACTTTATATAGTTAATTTATAATAAAACAACTTGTTAGTCATAATGTTGATACTGACATATTACTAGTGGTAGGATTTTTAATGACCTGTCATGCTTCATGTTACAAATAATTCTGTTTTTACTTATCCTACCGTATATATAAAATATAATCCTTATAAATAATTTGCCCTCCATTAATTTGTTACCAAACTGAAAATTGTTATAAAAAGAGTAACATATAAATTACAATTAAAATAATCAAAAAAATGAAAATTTTTCAACCTTCGACCTACCTCATTTAAGTAAATTATATTTTATTTTTATTTAATACTTAACAATGTCAAAGATTTTTTCTTATGTTTATTTAATTAGGTTTATTTAATATTTAGATCGTAAATATATTTATACTATGCGTATGAGAAAAATCTTAACAAAAATTTACATTTCAGATCAAGCCATCGATTCTGAGATGTCTGACTTTCCATTTAATTAACATACCTATCTACTGTATAATGTATGTATTTTACATTTTAATATTATGTTTTTCTTTTACTTTCTCTTTTGATAACAAGATATTAAATTATTTTGATTTAAATACTAGTATATACACTAATATATTACTAGTATATACTCGGTGCAAGTCATTTGGTCGACGTTTTAGTGATCAATAAAATATGATCGAAATATCATGTGATCGAATCGTTTTATAGTCAAAAAACAAATGGTTAAATATTTTATTAATATGATCGAAATGTTTTGAAACCGAATAGGTTTTTTTGGTCGAAATAAAGATAATCATTCGGTATATATATATATATATATATATGTCCCAGGGGCGTATTTAGAAATGTTTTAGGGAGGGGGGGAAAGCACAAACAAAAAGTTCAAAGTATACATAGTTATAACTTTTCC